GACATCTTCACAATTTTAATGGGTTTCTATGGTTACTTATTGTATTCCAAGTGTATATTTCCTTAGTGTGTAAGCAAGTTTGTGTTTAATTGATAGTGTGTGATGGTAGCAGCGAGGCTGAAAGATGACTTCGGGGAGATGCTGATTTGATTCTGTCGGTGCCACCGTCATATGTGAGACCTTTCCGTGTGTTGTTCTTGTGCATTTGAAAGCGGCTGTTTGTTTAGGACGAGCCTGATGACAGTTCTCTCGTAACAGCTGCTGCCCTCAGGTTAAATTCAACAGAGATGTTCTGACGCTCAGATCAGCTGTAGCATTTACACAACACTGCATGCATGTATAGTTTGTTCGGTTTCTGAAAAGCATGCGGGTTAGTTACCAAACTGAACGGTAAAATGACCAGAATTTGTTTAAATATTAACAAAAGTCTTTCCTAGTTCTGGGAACCACGAGAAAAGTGGCTTTTCCACCGGAAAAGCTTGTTAAATCACCTTTATGAGGGATACTATCAGTTTGTCAGGGGTGTTTGCATAACTATTATTACTATTGCTCATATTCATTTTTGAACAAACCCTTAACCTTTAGTCAAACTTCAGAAATGAACTTTACCTCAAATAATGAAGATTTCTAAGTGATCTAATAACTGTGATAATTGTGTAGTATAGATTTCTATCACATTTTGCCATCCAAATTAGGATGAAATAAGGAAAAACGTAAGTGTTTAAGTCATAATTTGGCAGGGAGTAAATAATAAAGAAAAAAGAATGTTGGAAAGTACATAAAGATATGAAATGGAGGCTTGTGGGTTTAATCGGTGCATTTATTATATTATATTATATTGTATTATATTATATTATATTTAAAGGGGTCATATGTTGCTAAAAAGAACAGTATTTTGTGTATTTGGTGTAATGAAATGTGTTTATGCGGTTTAAGGTTAAAAAAACACATTATTTTCCACATACTGTACATTATTGTTTCTCCTCTATGCCCCGCTTTTCTGAAACACGTAGATTTTTACAAAGCTCATCGGTCTGAAAAGCGAGGCCAGCTATCCAGTGCGTTGTGATTGGCCGAATACCTCAA